AAGAACAGGCTTAATGATTAATTAGATGGAACATTGTGGGTGTGGTGGTGTATGAATGTTAACACTTTGTAATAATTCTTTAGTATATTACTTGTGTGGTGTAGAAGATAATTATTTAAGAATGTAATTATGTAAGAATGTTAACACTCTGTTATAATTTTTTAGTATATTACTTGTGTGGTGTAGAAGAGAATTATTTATGTAGAGTTACTGCTTGCAAACCAATGATGTAAGATGATGTCATGGGGTAGGACTGGATAAGTCTGACTTCTTCCTACTCCATTCAAGCATGTACTAGGTATAAGCAAATTGACACTGGATTAGCATTTGTTGGATATGTGTAAAATTAAGTGTGTTGATATATCAACTGTCTTTACATACTTGAAAGAATAAATAAATCAAAGAACATATTACACTGTTTTGCAATATAGAAGTGGTAACTAAGGTCTCACTGTTGTATTCCAGCATGTCCAAATCTGTCAACATGCCAGTGACCCACACGTTTAAGTGGCCACATCCTGCACTCTGCATGTTTGGTTTTCAGAGAGCTTCGTAAACAAAGTGCTCCAAATGATATTGTGTCTAAGACTTTAAAACAAAGCTCATACTGGACTGATCATGAGTATCCGTGCCGTGTCAGAGAACTTGCCCTAATCCTCATTGCCTGTGTGACTGAGCTGATGTGGAGAATAACAGAGCACTTAGCTTTTTTTGTTTCACATCCTCTACCTAATCCCCTACATTGATGAGCCAATCAACTTCCCACAGGCAGACACGGTGTGCTATTTTACTCACCGGTAAATGCCTGTAGCATTTCTGGCTTTAAACAGGGAGGAGGGTCTTTAGAGCTCCCATTAGCTTGATTAAGACATACCTAAGCAATTTCCTGAGCAGAATTGGATTCTTTGATTGATTTTGATACTCCCCGGGATTTATAAGGAGACTGGTGTGTGATTCAAGCACATGAAGAAGGTGGGAGGTTTAATCTGTGCTCAAAGCTCTGCGCTTCAATCAGTTCTCAAAACAAACAGATGAGTCAAACAGGCTCTTAGGAATCACTGGTAATCCCACCGACAGCAGCAAATAAAAGGTGGAAAAAGAAAATTCAGTGAGAGCACATCTGCTGGAATATCATGTGCAAAGTGCAGTGTTTTTCTGGATATTAAAACCAAGCAGTGAGGTGGGTGTGAGGAGGAAAACAGAGGAACAAGTGGAAGCAGCCATCAGCTGGGATGAAATACGCAAAAAAGCAGCTGGGTGTTTCTATGTTTTATGTTTGGGTTTGATTCCAGATTTGGGTTAAAACTTCAATGGGCATATGGTTCAGCCCTGTCACACTCAGATGTGGCATTTGACAGCACACAGGGACTGGTGGCTGCCTAGCAACAGGTTCTCTGGCCCTGAGACCTGGCACCAACACCTGGAATCCTGTTGGCAGAGGTTTGTGCCACCTGTGCCAGCTGCCAGTCAAAGTCTACACTCATAAGCCTTTTACATTATTGTTCACATTTGCACGCTTCTGTTTATGTGCAACTTCTCAACAACCTGTTCCTACACTTTGTTAGGAATTGGGATATTGCTTTTTATTCAGAATACAAAGGCTAGAAAAGACAAAGCATCCATCTCATATTTGAAAACCAGAATAATGTGAAACATGAGCGGAGACTTTCACGGGCTCTTTGAAAACAATAAAATGAAAAGAAAATGATGCAATACATCATGTAGGGACTGAGATAATGTCATTTTCCCACAACAACAATAAAGAATGTTTCGAATGATGAAAATTTTAAATGTGTTTCTAGATTTCAAAATCTTTCCAGAGCCTGCTTGCTGTTATTGCACCGATCAGAGAGAGAAACAAAGTCCACTGAAGGCAAGACTGGGACGGTGACTTTAGAACCAAGGGTGCAAATCAGCTGTTAAGCTAACCTTTGCACATTTACACTGTCATTAATATCAGTGATGAATTAATGTGCACTGTCCTGTATAAATAAATAAACAAGAAAACAAAACTAATGATGCTGACAATTTACCTCACTGTTTATCAGGACCCTTATCACTCACTGGCTGAATGGCCAAGGTGTTTCCCACAGCTTTTTGTCTAAAATGTAACTCTTATAAATCATGCACAAATCATCCTGTGCCCCACATGAAGTACTAGTTGCCTTGTTCTCTGAAAGTAATTTTCCGATTCTGGGCTAAAGGTTTTTGCAGTGACCTGTCTTCACCTCACCTTTCTTTAGTCTGATGCTGAGCCTCCTCCCGACTTTCTTGGTATATCCTCCAGCTGAGGTTGAGTTCAGCCCCTTCTGAGGCGATTGGGTGTGACCTGTAGGCGGCTTGGCTGCAGAGACCGCTGGGTGGGTCAGAGGGGTGTAGCCATCAGTCGGGTCTGGGTGAGATTGCGAATGAGTGTGCGTTTGGGCACCGTGCCGTGACATCCTCTGTGGGGTATGGTCCAGTCCAGAAACTGTGCTGCCGTTCAGGGAGTCAGGGCTAAAACGTCCTGAGGCATATGCCGTATTCCTCTCAGTGTGGGACAGCTGCTCGTAGTGGGCCTTCATGGAGGATGGGACCACATGGAACATGATGACGGGAGATCGCATGGCCTGACGGAACATGTTCTGGGCTCTGGAATGGCAGGAAAAGTTTTAAGGAGAGATTTTAAGGGGAAAGGAATGATGGGAGACTTGATTATTTGACTGATGTCAGGCCTAAATATCCTTCTCAGCTATCGATAACAAATGTGTGCATTCATACTCGTCTGCACAAACTTGCTTAGTGTAGCACTTCACCTACTGTACTGATGTCTCTCTTACACACAGACCCATACTGTATATATATATAATCCATCTTCGCCCACCTGAACATTCTGACATGTTAATTAATACTTATTGCCAGCATGAGCAGCTCCAAAGAGACTGAAACATCCCCAACAGCTCCATCACATAATCCCCTCATTTGGCTCCAGATGAAGAAGAAATCTACACGATGGATAGTTTGCAGAAAATCCTCTTTTAAACCCCTTCACTGTGCGCTCATCTACAGTAGGTGTGAATGGAAAACTGTGTTAGCTGTCAGCACCCTGTAACAGCAGAGCCTTGTTAGCACCAGCTGTTTTAATAGAGCAGACTGTGGTACGGCTCTTCCCTTGTCTGCCAAAAGCTGAGCGGACATTGGGGAAAATGACGGGGCCCCAGTATTGCTATTGCTCCTCTCACAACCTGAATGACAACTAAAACTTGCCTCCCAAGAGGATTCTGTGGTGAAATTTCACTCTTTTTTTCTCCACCACTAATAACCTTCCTTGAGGACAGTCTCGTCTCTGAATGCTTATGATTTCAGGCTGGATCAAGTGGTAGATGAGATGTAATCTGCTCCCTTATAAAAATACTGTTAAAAAACAAGAGCAACTGTTGACTGTTGACGTACTTGTAATGACACTATGTATGGAAGCCTCAGCATTGGCTGGGACACCGTAGCGTGACTGGAATGTAAGAGTTTTCTACCCACAGTGATAGTTTTGGTTTAACTGTCTATTATGTACTTAGATTTGTGCCTCTGCTCCAATACCATAGAGATGAATGTTAAAACTATCTCTACTGAAGAAACAGTCCCTTTTCTGTAACTCCTGACACCATGTTGTTTGCATTATCCACATTACACTTCTTTTGCGACAAGATATTGCTACAGAAGTCATTTACCTCCAACTCCATTGTGTTGAGGTGGCAACAAAAACCTCCAAGACACTTTCTCAAAGCCTCAACAAATAAAACCAAAGTCAAATTATCAGCAATGTGAGGCAATGGGAAATAAAAATAAATGTTTTGGTTCTGTTTGTAATTTGGTTGAACAGCTTCTTTAAATTCCTCTATTTCTACAGACTGTTAAATCCTGTGAGACACCAATGCATCACAAAATCACATCAAACAAGTATGCATCGCTGCAAGTAACAGGCGAAAGGCGGGGTACACCCTGAACAGGTCAACAAGTAACATTATATGTATAATTGCAAGGCAAACATGCAACATACAGGATCTACAAAAGATGGAGTTAGCATGTGGAATGAAAGCGCTGGAAAGCAGAGGTTATGATATTAGGAACCTTATCCCCATTCCTTCCAATGGAAAGAGAGAGACAAGTGCTAGAGCAGGAACCCAGTGGAGCTGTTACTGAAACACAGGGGAGGAAAAGCTGGAAGGATCGCAGAAACAGCTTCAGTGGCTGAGGGTACAACCTACAAGAACTAAATAGGGAATGTTAGCTTAGCACAGTGACAGGCAGCAGAGGAGCCTGTGCACTGGCAGGAGTGCAGAGGAGGCTGGGGGGAAAAGAAAAAAAACACAAGGGGGGAGGATAACAGCACAAAGAAGAGTTTACAACTATAGGTATAACAAGCGAGAAGAAGCAAATCACGCAGGAAGTCCAGGCACCACCAGAGCTCAGCGGTGGCTCCTGTGAGCTGTGGCCTTACTGTTCAAAGCGGATGTTTCGCAGGTCTCCGTTATTGATACGGATGATACAGTCGTTCTCCTGGAAGAGGCCTTGCTGCTCGGCCTTCCCTCCCCTCTCCAGACGCTTGACCAACAAGCCAAGAGTCCTGAAATGTTCGAAAGTTCATGTCAACAAGTTGCGAGACGACGTCCATGGATTCACTACGGCTGCTTTGCTGCAGTCTGGACAGGGCTGAGGTGGAGAATACCCTGAATATACTGTCATCTCTGAGGCCTTTATATTTACCACCAACTGCTTTTTGACATTAAATGCTATGTTCTGTGGTTTTAATATTATTTATACCATGAAAATACCTTCTTGAGTGCAAACATTCCTGTTGGAATCTGTCTTCGCCTTGATGGAAAACATTCTTGGACACAAAAAGAGCTACACCTAATTGCTGCCTCTGCTTTAACATGTAGTGCTTGAAGAGAGTGCACAGTGCTGTCCTGTCATTTGCATCATCGGTGTACCAACAAGGCTTATGAGAGAAAGCAGTCACATCACATCAGGGTGCTTTAGAGGCTGTGTGTGGGTGGCATCTATTCAAAGGCAATCAACACATTGAAAAACTCGACTCTAGTTCTGCCAGGGTCGGCGTTTTTGCAGGTGTTAATTTTCTAACCCCTAGAATGCCTGCCTTCCTTTTCTAAGAGAAAAAACAAACACCATGCTTTTAGAGAGAAAGAGCACACAGCACCATTAAACACTGATAGGTGGGTGGGGATACGCTGGTCTATGGCGCTGTCGCACTTCACCCTGCTGAGCTGCAGCGGTTGTCGCCCTGTAATCCGGTGCAGCAAACTTGGCGTATGCCTCCCTGCACAGCTGCAGAGAGAGGCTAACTTCGCCTGAAAGGGCACTTTACGAATTATAGACCCAAGACTGAGGTAGAAAATCAGCTGCGGATAGGAAACAAGGCAAAAACCTAATCGAGTCTTCTGGGGTCCATCATCTGTGTGTCACCTGCAAACACTTTTTCTGAGACAGTATGAGGTGAACTGGGCTGATGTTATGGTTTATACTTGCCCTCGCCTTAGGCTTATAATTTGTTATAAATGACAATGCGATTACAGGGAGGGCAGAAAAGTTCAGAAGTTGAAAAAGTTCAGAGACAATTCCACTGATTGAATCCGAGTGAGAAGACAATGTGATCTGCAGTGCAAGGGCCACTTCTCTGATGAAAGCTGGGCATCTTAATCTCGGGATAACAGCCACTCTGACACTTCCTCAATAAAAGAAAGGTACCTTATAAATGTGCTTTTAGGTTGATGAAGTCAGGCACTATAAAAAGTGATATAATCTTGAGTTTCAATAAAGCATGTCAGTGAGTTTTGCAGTGTCTGATCAAATTTGCATCATACATAGATAAAACTTGTGGACTCTGTTCTGAGCTGGTGGCAACTGAGCCTGAAAATAAGTGACTGCATCTTGCAGTGGTCTACACCGGTTTTAAGGTTTTAAACATGTAGCTTTATAGTGAATGCAGTGTTACATACTCAGCTATACCGAGGTCATAACTCTGACAGGCTTCAGGACTTCATGACTGATCACAGCCTCCAAAAACTGCCTCTCTGGGCATATTTAAACCAGATGTGAAATTCCTCTAATTCCTTCACAGCTTTGTTGCAGCTGTGCATGTGTGTAGTAGGTATGTGTGTTGTGCGCAGTGCTCAGTGTATTCTTTGAATCATGTAAAGCAGATGTGACAGCATCCACAGAGAAATATGACAGTCACCTGCAAACACTAAACAAACATGATTGATCACTTTAAACTAGCAAATGGTTCCATGATGCAGATGCAGACAGTGTGCACGGCACTGACTTTGTATGAACGATGAAGTGATTGCACAAGAGGAATGCCCAGGATCTGTGTGTTGTGTGTCTCAGGTGCTGCAGTGTACTTCTCTCCAGGGATTTTTCAGAGCTCAAATTAACACAATAAAAGACATTTTCACCAGAAATGAAATTCAATTTAGGTGAATTCATTTTTATGAGTGTACAATAAGGCTGACAAGGCATCAGCTAAAAGGGGTAAGTGGGCAATTTTCTTCTTTTTAAAAATCTAAAAGCTGTCAGGTGTGTACCACTTGGGCTTTCCACTGAAAGCCTCCAAAAACTGAAAGTGAAAGATTAAACACAGTTGCTTAAAGAACTGTACATGGACTGAGTAGGGAGAAAGATATCATGGATTCTTTTTTTTAATGTCTGCAAATAAAATCACCACCTTTTTTCAAATGATTATATTTTCCATTTGCTACTATCCTATCCAGCCTCTTCTATGCAAATTTAAACATGAAAGTCACTGATTTAAAGATATTTTTATTGTGTTTATGTTTTTAAGAGACACATTTTAAACCATATACGGCATTCTTTAGGCCCTGTGGACGCCACGCCTGCCTGTTCCTCTCCATGACTCTCTTCTAGCCTGCATGAACGCCACTGTGGCTCTGCTCTGGATATGTTTACCTGCGGTCCCTGCCACTGAAAGGCACCACGTGGATCCCCAGGGGCCCGCCGTCGTTTGACACCTCCACCAGTCTGACTATGTCTCTGGGAGATGGTGACAGATGGAAGATGGAGAAACACGGGGTGGGTGTGGGGGTTGAGGAAGTGCAGAGGAGAGGGGTGACACCATGTGGGCAAAAAGAAGAAATAAGATGATGATGAAAGAAACAGGAGAATAACAACAACAACAACAACAACAACAGAGGGGTGTAAACAAATAAATAAATAAAAACACAAAGCTAGAAGGTGTTGGGGGAGACAAACAGTCCAAATAAATCAAACGCAAGTGAGGGGAAACAAGGAACACTGAAGGTTTTCCACTCGTACACAATTTAGATTTAGGTCAATCTTTAAAGAGACAAAAAATGTTTGTTTGTTTTTAAGGGAAACAACATTTCACAGCAGCTAATTTATGAACATTAAAATGAAACCAGCAATCACAGTCACTACCGTCAGCCACAAGTGCTCCACATACAACAGCCTTCAGATGTAATTTTGTCTTAAATGTCACATTTTTAGCAGATCTTTAGGTTTTTTTTTTACCTACAGCACTTGCCGCTGAAAAACACCACAAACCAAGTCAAAACCTCCTGGACTTCCCGATTCAGGAAAAAATGTCAGGCCTGCACCTTTTGTCATGAGAAACTCAGCTTCCACGCGGCTGCTTTTATCTGAAAAGTGTCCATTTGTTTCTCCTTTTGTGTTGTGTTGCAGCAGCAAAATGGCTCAGCTCAGACTTTTACCGAGACAGACGCATTTCCGATGAAGTCCTACGCTGCAAATTGTTTGACTGCATGCACAGGGGAGAATTTAGTTGAAGTGATCCTTTGACCCTTTAAAAACAAAACATTGTCCTGGCAATTTGCTTTTCTGAACCAGAATTCTTAACTTGTTTCTCTGTCTGTAAAATCTATAGCCAGGCACATTTTCCAAGATGCCGAATCTAATCAACTCACAGCTCTGAAACTATAAATAGGCCCCTTGATGAGAACTAAAAGGTGGGAGAAGCCGGAGCCTCCTGAAAATCATAGGAATAATAACAATACCATACCTGCATATTAAACTGGAAGCATGCAACAGAGCAAAATAACAAAACACAACACAGTTGTTAATAACAGTAGCTGAATGGGTTCGTGCGTGGGAGAGCTCTGATGGCGAGACCAGGATCATTTTGCTCCCACAAAAGAAAATTATATAAATCAGGAAGCAGGGCTGTAATGAAATTTTCTACAAATAAACCTGCATTACAATATAGAGCCTGCTAGACTTACTTTTAAGTGATTATTATGTGTAGAAAGGAAGGAGCGAGCTGATTTATCCAGGTCAATTTTAAAGGGAAATTCGCCATCACTCCTACTAGTAATAACTGTACTGAGATCTGGGAACATTGTAAAATCACCACCTGAACCGGATCTATTTGTGAAGGTTATCACACAGTAACTAATAGAGATTATGGCCAAAATTACAGATAAGGACCTCGGTTCTAATAACCAAGAATTTTCTTTTAGGGTTACCAATGTACAGTGACACCGGAAAATAATAATAATAATTAAAAAAAAAAAATCTCTACATCCCTTTGGAAAAGGTCATGTTGACAGTATTTCCAAACACAAGTAATTTGCTGTTCTATACAGCAGCAAAGGCGCTAAAACAGAATGATCCTCATCTGGGTCATTCTGAGAGAATCTGTGCCACTTTTCCCCAGTGGTGAATATCACATGTTGAAATCAGCCTCCCTAAATATTCATCAGTATGACCAGCAGCTACTCCAGCGTTAGCAGCCTACTGACTCTCAGCACATACCAGTGATGTCAGGAAAAACAAAAGGCAAAAACACAGCTGTGGGAAGCTGCGCCACGACAGGAGGACTTACTCTAGTGATCTCACAGGGGCGTGGTCCACGCCAGAGTCAGCTCGGCCGACCGGCTCGATCCTGCCGTCTTCCTCCTCTCTGGCCTCTTCCTCCTAGAACAAAACACAAACAAACATAAGAAAAGTGAGGTGGCAATGTTCTGTGAGCAATGTTCCTGTTTGTGATCAGCATCAAGTGATTCACTCATACAACACAGGTAGACTTGAAACTATGACCTCTGCTGCATACCCTGGTCTCTCACATTAGAAGACACTGCACAACAGTAACAAAGCATTAAACACTGATTACGGATCAAACCCAATATTTTTTCCTTTTTGCAGTTAGTCCACATGTTTGATTAGGTGCTCATGGTCACACCTTGGCCACGAGATGTGTCAGACCACTTCTTAAACACAGATCAATCAGCAAAAATGACAATACTGCTGGAGGTTTTAGAGACTAGACTTCCAGGATCACAAAGGTCAACAACATACTGCACATAAGTGCGGTGTCGGAGCATGTCCTAGACGAGGCCCCACACGTGTCCAAGATGTAAAATTGTGGCTAATTTCCACTGTGACAGTTTACACAGGATAAAATGATAAACTGTTGTCCCCACAACTGATTTTTGTAGATGTTCCACCTTTGTTGGATCATCACCTTTTGGGGTGATGTAAAAGACTTCCCACCTACTTTCTTCACTTCCTGTTAGGTATAGACACAGTTAAAGAACTAAGCCTTTTAAAGCATAAGTACAGTTCAACGGCTAAAAAAGGAGGCCGAGCTGCTGACCTGACGAAGCCAAGAGGAGCAGACTGGAGGAGGTCTTCCACAGGTATAAAAATACATGCCCTTTAAAAAATTCTTCTGTCCTCAAAATGACATTGTTCTTTTTCTGTATTAAAAGTGGACAGTGAGTGTGTGTCTGTTTGAATGCTGAAGCCACACACACACACACACACACACACAAACACACACGCTTGCACCGCTGAGAGCAAAGAGGAGGAAAATGAGAAGCAAAGAAAAAAGGTCATTAAAATTTTTGGGCGACACTGGAGAGGAGAGACGAGCGCGCAGCGCAAGCCTCCACGGCAACCGGCCACCTCATCAGTATGAAAATGAGCCCGCCGTTACTGTGGCGTTGCCATGACACTCTGGGTGTCTGGAGGACATACAGCTACAGGGCAGTGTATGAGTGTGTGCATGTGCGTGAAACACTGTGCAAGGACTTCTGACTGCCATCGTTCAATTTAGGACTCGTCTCCTGCTCAGACTGTCACAGTGAAAACAGAAAGACCACAAGCTTCTTCTTACAAACACAGGTGGCAAACTGCAACAAGACAGATGTAAAATTTTATGTAAAATGATGCAAAATTTAAACTTGAATTGACTAAGTGAAGTTTTCGATCTGACAAAAAAGGCAGCATCATCTATTTATGCAAAGTCATCAACAATGAAGGATCCTTGAGTCTTCACTGACGTGTTTATTATTGTTCATTTGGTCACCTTTTTTTTCTACCTTTTTTCAGCTTACTATGACCTGGATGACTGAAAGTCTGCACGGACATCAAAGAATATATTCTACTGTGAGCCTGTGATATATTTACTAGGACTGTATGAACTTGTCTGTTGAATATGTCAATGAGAAGAGCAGATATGACCTCGAAACATCATAAAACACACATACAGGCCAGATAAAGAGAAGAAAGTCCAGCAGAAAGAGAAACAATAACAAGTCAAAGAGCCTCGGAAACACATCCAACACTATTCAGTATTTATCAGGACATGAGAAACTGAGGCGGAGGGGACATCAGAGCGGGAGAGGAGTCGCTCAGCTCTATCTGAGGAAGAGTAAATGAGTTCTGCATTCATCACTGCACACGCACACATCTCGCAGGCCCTTTATTTTAATAAGCACCATCTCTGAGGAATCTGGCTGCAGCTGACAATTCTATTCTGAAGTCAGACAGAGGAGGTTTGTGTGTGTGAGAGTGTGTCAGTCTGCTAGATGTAGGAAAGAGGCAAGTGATGGTGATGGAAGTAAAACTGCAGAAACAAAACGAAGCAAATAGAACCTGTACGTTAACGAGTGTATTTAAAGCATTTTCTATTCGTTTACAGCAGCTGTCATAGGTGAGTGTATCTAATCAGAACTGGTACAATGCAATTACAATCGCCCAAGGGAGAAAACAGCACCATGTTTTTCCTGATTTCACACACATCCTGTCACTTCTTGTCCACTGATATATGAGTATGCTACAGATAGATGGGTTGAGAAAACAGCCTGAGCTACTGCTACTCATGTAGTCACTGTTGTCGGTCACAGTGCATGATCTTAGCAGGTAGTAGTAGTAGCGCTTCTCATCCATGCCTAGAGATAATAGCAGCTTCAAAAGGAACAAGATATCCTTTAAGTTTTCAAAAGAATGAAATTTGACTAGCGACTATCTGCAGTTTGCATAAGGGCAAGGCCATCTGCTGATGAATCCCTGTTATATGATTGAAATGTTCAGAACAGCTACCAAATGGACGCCAGGGAGAGAAACTGCTGTTACTAAGGTCAAGAATGAAGTTTGAGCTGCAGCAGGTGGAAGCAATTTTTCATTCTGGCTTTCATTCTCCCCACTATCTGCTGTCATGAAGGTTTCAAGTCCATTTTCTCTGGAAGGATGACAGCCTGTTCCTGTTTGTGCTGTAAAGTCATCTTGCTTTTGGGGAAAAAATGTGTAGAGGCTGTTAGCAGTGGATGATGAGGATGATGGCCTTGTTTGTTTATAGTAAATCAACCTAGTATCTATACGTCAAACAGAACAGCATGATTTGTTAATGCTAAAATGTAGACAATATGGTCAGTTGTTAAAGTTGTTGGCTGGTTGTGTTTACGTGATTCTAGAAGAGAAGAGAAGAGAAGAGAAGATGGTACAAGCTGTGAAGAAAATAAGGCTTGTTTGAACCGAGACAAACATTCACCACAACCTGAGCTGACTCAACCAGTTTGAACAACAGACGCACCAATCAGCACTTACTCCAACCTTCCCTCTCAGCAGGAGACACTCAGAAAAGCATCCCCACAGCCACACCATCAAGCCATCACCCATTCCCGTTGCTGGGAGTGGGCCGGGTGAGCACAGAGATAGATAGGCGCATTAATAATTCAGGCCTGAGTCGGGGGGTTAATGGCTGGCGGGCAGACACACAGAGACAGACAGGCAGGTACGAGGAGGAGCGGCCGATGTGTTTTCCAATCGAGTCATTGTTTGTTTCCTGGATGTAGAGAAGGAGAGGCAGTCGGGCAGTTTTCAGGCCCTGGGGCTCATTAAAGATTAATCGGAGAATCCATTGGGGCCTGTCCTTTCTATCTCTCAAACTAAATGAAGTGGTCTGTGCCTAGAGTGTATGTATGGGTGAGAGAGCGAGCGAGGTAATGCTGCACTTTAATGAAGTGCTTCTCTTTCTTCTTTTGTGCCACAGTGACCACACTGTGACTCGCACACTGCTGTGGATGTATACAGACGCTGTGGCAGTTTTATTTGCAGGAATGGAAAAACAGAGAGAGGTGAATAAATGAGACGAGTTTAAAATCCATAAAAAGAACATAAAGAGTTACAAAACAAACAGTATTTACAGCCATTTTACCTGGAGCCCATCACTTCTTTAAGACTGCATTAAAATCCTAAAATCCAAATGATCACATCTCCAAAACGTTAACAGAATGAAACTCTCTGATCATTAGAGTCGGTGCTGAAGTTGCACATCTTCACAATGACAACCTCTGCGAAAGGTAGACAAATCTTGTCAAGTTGAGTGCTGATGCCGTCAGTCGAGTCAGAGTTTTAAAAAACAGCATCATTAAGTGTCATTACGTGATGCTGTACATCTCGCTTCATGTCAAAAACAAACTACATCTGGATTTCAGTAGAAAAATGTTCACATGCACACCACTGAGAAGCACTTGTTCATAAATACAGATGTTTTTTCCTTGCTAAAAATACACCATGAACACACCGACAGAGGCACACACAGGCATCCATGAACTGGTATCTGTGTCCTCTCCAGTAGAGCTCCATATGTTTACAACCAGATGAAACACTGGACTAGAGACTACAAAATTGGCCTAAGTGATACTCTCAGCACTAATTACACTATGGTCAATGTGAGCATGCACAAAACAAATGCTTTACACCAAATTCAAAGAATCTTGCTGTACATTTGCCCCAGCCCTGCCATCAGACAATAAGTGGACTCTGAGCGCTTCCAAAACATGGCTGACCTTCACCCTCTATGGTCCTTGAACGCCTTGCGGAGCCCCGGTGCTGCTGCTCTGATACCTGACCTTCTAGGTGGACACAGTGTTAGCATAGTTTAATATGATGATCGCTGCATGCTATATTTGGAAATGCATATGGATTAAAGAGGATACGTCAGTAAACTATGCTGCAAAGTTAGTTACATTTTCACTAACAATATTTCCTACACCTAACCTTCATCTGTTAAAAATGCCGGTGATGGAAGAAGTACTCAAATCACAGTGTAAGAATACTGTTACGCATAGAAGTCCTGCATTTAAAATGTTACTTAGATAAAAGTACCAAAATATTAGCATAAAAATATACTTGTAGCTAAAGAAATGCTGAATGACATATTACACAATACGTGGGTAAATGTACTTAGTTACTTTTTCGGCCACTGAAAAAGGGAGTAAAGAAGAGACGGGAGAGACCTAAGGAGAAACTGAAGAAACAGGCAGCGAAGGTCAGGACTACATCCAGGAGCTCAAACTACATCAACAGAAAATCCAAGAAAAGACACCACAGAAGTGGACCACAACTTTGGATTGATGTCTGACGACACCAAGCCATGAGATCACTGCTGCTCCGAGCAGCACTCAGATTTAAAAGAAACAGCAGCGATAAGAGAAAGAAAAGAGAGAGCAAGAGGAGAAAAAACCCCACAAATAGCTCCTGGGTCAGTGGGTGTGTGACCTCTTTCAGCAAGAGACAACTAGAAATCTGTTCAATTTCTGGGAGGTGAGACAGCACACACATGCATACTTGTACTTCTGTCTTTGTGAGGACACTCTTTGACATAATGCATTCCCTTACCCTAACACTTA